CCCCAAAACCCCAAAACCCCAAAACCCCATATAAAGGTGGTGAAGTAGAAATAAATAAATACTTAAATATGTATCAAATCCCCGTGCTAGATCAGCAATGTAAGCATAAAAGTTTAGAAGGAGGTTAGCTAGAGAAGAATTATGATTTTGAGAATATCTGAACGTTATGGATGATGTTATTTAGGAGAGTTAGTCAGATTTCATTCAGGCAACACTTCTGTTGTAACACTAAACCTTCTGGTGAAAGTTTGCATTCAAATTCAATCATATATTTATTCTCTTTTTACAATCCAAGTGAGCTTCATCACTTATTTCTAAAGGGAGATGCCAAATCTAAGGCTTAGGGCTAAAATTTGAAAAAATTAGAAATTTAGTCAACTTTTGGTTATTCCTAAATTCTAATAATAAAACTTCGACAGGTTTTGCTGATTAAATTATTACTCTTTTATAAATTTACCTGTTTGGCAAGTTCTGCATAATTTGTAGTTAAATAAGAAAATATTTTTAATATTTCATTAAAAATTAGGTTTGAATATTTTGGTGAAAAAGATGCTGGGCACTCTTGCCGATTTGCTAGATTTTCCCAATTGGAATTAATAAGGAAATTGAGAATAAAAATAAAAATTTAATTTTAATAAATCTTTGGCATCTTCATATCTTTTTAGGAAAAAAAGATCCTTGGATGATGGTTCCACAATACTCTCTTGACAGTTTTTGACTCTGCGATTATCAGAATGATAGCCTATGATTCCAAGATATTTATTGAACACAGGTGTCTAATAAAAAACCATCCCAACTTGGATGCTCAACAAATGGAACTGGAGAAGTGTGAAAGGTTGGAGAATTTCAGACAAGATCTTCTACAGAATCAATAAGAGGGAATATCCAAGAGTTTTTTTCAAAAGAAGCCTTTGAAAAGTTCCTATCTAATCAAATTACTAGTGGCTGCCACATGCAGTTTTCTCCCATGCTGGATCTCTCGAAGAAGCAGATGAAGAAAACTGAGAGAGATTTTACTAATTCAAACGCAAGGAAAGATGTTATTTACAAGGCTATATTAAGGTTCTTCAGAAGAAATTGTCAGATAGAAATAAAGCGACTCAAATGTTCGATGTGAAGCCACCAACCAGACTGTCTTTGCTGTCATACAGAGGAGAAAAGTACAATGTTCTTGAGCTCTGAACTTGGCATCCCTGTGACTGCTGAACTGTTAGAAGTCTTTGAAGTAATCATATCGTTTGGCTCCACCACGCTTTCCAGAGAGTCTCCAGTCTATGAATTTACTCGCTTGTTTAAAACCTGAATGGAGAAATTTAATCGCAAGAAATTGCACAAAATATTGTCAAATAAATATTTTGCAATAATTCTCCTCAGATTTTGGGAAAGATCTGAGTTATTTGAGAAAATGGTGAGATGCTTGAACATGAAGAGGGAACAAGAGATAAATGTCGAAGCTCATAGATACTATCTGCATAAATTGATGCGCAGCTGAACAGACACTCTGGAAGGGCAGATATCATAACTGTTAATTCATATAATCCATTCCATGCTTATAATAGATTCAAAAATTTTCATGCTTACATTTTCCAATTTTATGTGAAATAATGCTTCCTTCAGAACTATAATTTCTGGATATTTTTAGTGATATTTCTAGAGCGATAATAGAAAATTGTGAGTGAGAGATATGCCCAGCATTGCCTCATTCTGCACTTTATATGCTTTTATTTTCAACGAAATGACAATAAAATGAATGTAAATCTATCTTTTCAATTTGTTCGAAAAATTATAATTTGGTGAAATCTCACCTCTGTCATGATTTTTAAAAGGGTTAGGAAAGAAGAACGCAATATTTTGCTCCACAGTTTAGTGCCAGTTTTACGAAGGAGATAAGGCTGTCGCTTGTGTTATAAATCTTTAATAAGCGCAAAAAAATTATTAGCCCCCATTTCGAAAAGCCATTCTTATAAAGTCTAGTCAGGATAGGATGGAAATGATTTTTACTTATTTTTCAAAAAGGGTGATAATTATAATTTATTTCCCTGACTTTAGACACTCAGGGAGGCTCTTTTTTCCCACTATGAGTACTTCAAAGCCTTAGACATTCGTCAGATAAGGGCAGGAGTATTATTAACTAAGAGTTTTCTAATCTTGTTGAAAGCTTTCAAAGATTATTATTTCTAAGAGTCCTAGTCTTACATGTTATTGATGGGCTCGAAATGCAAGGCTAGAGAAGTGGCCAAGCATGCATCTGATCTTTGTTTAATAGGCCTTTGCAATCAGATGTATTAGAGTGAGTAATAGAGCTGATATTATAAGTCTAAGGTGTCATAAAAATTTATAGCCATATTTCTTCTGAAGGATTCGTAGATGATTTCAATTAAATATTCTTAGTTTCTTTGCATTAAAAATATTATCTAACAGCAAATTAGAGAATAAAGGAGTCTCTATTTTTCAGATTCTGGCAATAAAATATAACATATTATAATTATTCAAGAAATCTGATAAGAATCGATCCATAAAGGGGTAGGAAAAGAAGATAGATTCTCTTACTAAAATTTCAAAAACTTTTGCTGCAAATTATATCTTTCATTTAGCCATTACTAAGAAGCTCTATTACAACAAAATTAGGAAGAGTGGATGTGCTAAGTTTATTTCTCATAATTTATTGACATACCACTAACTTGTGTTATTTCGTCAATTGACCCCAAATAAACTGTTGAAAATTTCACAGGACTCTATGAAAATAGTGAGAAAAGAGCTAGAGGACTTCTTCAATAAACAAGTGGTTACTCAAATTTTAGCATCAAAAGATCACCAATTAATTACTTTAGCTCAGATTCTTAGTCCAATTTTTCACATTGGTCAGGAATGGTAATCCAATTTCTACGAAAGCTAGCCTTTATAGTCAGGAAAGGAAAACTATAAAATTGATTTTTCAGCCTCTTTAGGCCCAAAGATTTAGTGCTCTCCTAGTCATAAGCGATTTATTCCAAGATCTTTCATGATTTGTTTGGTAGATAGGCATTTTATTTTATTTGAAAAATTTTATGAGTTTTTCATGAAATATTATCGAATAAATTATAACTCAAAAAATAGAGATTGGCATGAAAATTTAACACTATCGAAGACATAACATTTCAGATTCTTTGTCAATGTTAGGATATCCATTTTCATGCAAATTTCAAACTCTTGTGCTCAAATTGGGAAATTCTCGAAGAGACTAAATTCAAAAGATGGATATGAAGAAAACTCTAATAATAAAATTCAGATTAAGAAGAGTATAAATTTTAAGATAGAAGATATCTGAACTGTAAATAGAGAAAATTCAGTTTTTAGAAAATTAGTGGAAATTTCATATGCATATTCTTGAACCTAAGTATTTATCAGCTAATTCAGAAGCCCGGAGATAATAAAGAAGAAAGCTCTAGCAATTATACTTTAGAGGTATACTAGTGGCTTAGGAAGTACTTTGTATAAAGCTGTAAAAGCAATATTAGTAACATTATCTCTGAAGAGTGCAGTTATTGTTATGCAATACTTTCACACAAACATAAGGACTCATTTTGCTAAGAAACTATTCAAACGAGTGATTTTAAACCTCGGGAGATATTTAATGATCCTGAGTCCTTACTCTAATTCATCAAAATGAGATAACTGTTAATAATTATGACTTTGAGTGACAATTTATAATCATATTATTTCTATAACTGTGAATTTTTGATGTAATTATTTTATCAAAACTTTCTCTTGTATTTCAGACTTTGCCAATCCTCTTATTAAAAGACAATAGAGCAACCAGCGAAAAAATTGCCTACCATATCCCCTCTAAACTCCCAAACCCAAAAATATCTTCCCAACTCTCTATCACCTTCACTCCCCTTACACTCTAAACCCATTCACCCCAAAAACACTCCACTAAGACCTCCCAGACCCCCCTTCATCCCTACAACCACCACATCCCTACAGCTCCAGCCCTCCATCAACTGTCTTCCTAACCCCTTCTCCAACTCCCCAAATTTTATCCTGACTCACTCAGCCCTTCCTACTACTCTTGGCCGCCTTGGCCAAGACCCTCAAGGCTGTACAGGAGGGGTTGGGAAGTTTTAATAGATTCTTAAGGCGGCCATATTATTTTTATTTGGGGATTTTCAGCTGGGAAGTTACTCAGGGGTTTTGGGGTTTTGGGGTTTTGGGG